AGCTTCACTTACTGAGTGACAGACACCACTTCCTTCTCCACCAAAAGGCCAATGATAAACAACCACCAAGAAGAGCCTGAATCACCCTTGGCTGTTCTTCACAAACGATTAACAGAGATCTAAGTACAACAAGGCCATGATGTCTCAGAGACAACAGACCATCACAGTTCACACAAAAAAGCAAGATAAAGTGGTAGAAACAAGGGGACAGGATCCAGATCCTGAACACATCCCTGAGGAAGAAACAGCACTGCAACCCTCTGATAAGGAATTCAAAAGAATTATATTTAGGTATCTTCAGAGGAAAACACAGAAAAAAACCTTTAAAGAATCTTGGAAGAAAATACAAGAACAAAATGACAAAATAAATGAAAAATTAGAAATTTCTATGTCTGCAGATAGAAATCCAGAATTAATACTAAATTGTCAGAAACAGTAACACATTGACAAGGTAAAGGAGTAGAACTGATACAATGGAAGACAGAATTAATGACACTGAAGAAAAATACTTCTTCAGAAAGGGATCATTCAGAAAAAAGATCAAAACAAAATGAAGATAGTGTAAGATTCACGTGGGGTACACCATCAAAAGGAATAACTTACGTATCATTGGAATCCCAGAACAAGAAGAGGAAAACAAAACCACTGAGAAAATTGTCCAATATTTGATGGAGGAGAACTTCCCTGATATGATGAAAGATGAGAATATATCCATTCAGGAAGTCCAACAAATCCCAAACAGGACAGACCCCAAAAGAAAAACATCAAGACATCATCATCAAACTCATCAAAACCAAAAACAAACACAGAATCCTGAAAGCAACACAGGAAAAACAAAAAGTTACTTACAAAGAACAACCAGTAAGAAAAGGCTCTGATTTCTAAGCAGAAACCATGCAAGTGAGAAAGCAATGGGATAGTATATATAAAACCCTGAAAGAGAAAAATTTTCAACCAAGAATTATATACCCGGCAAAATTGTCCCTCAAATAATGGTGAAATTAGAAGATTTCCAGATAGGCAGAAACTAAGGGAATTTGTTAAAATCAGACCAACCTAACAAGAGATACTAAAGGGAGTCCTTTGAACAGAGAATCAAAAATTGCAAACAACAACTGACCATTAATACACAAGAAGACATAACCCAGAAACCACAGCTATGGACATATCCAAAGTAAAATATGCTTACAAGATTGTAAACAGAGAACCAGAGACATCAATTGGCAAGTGAGGACAACTACAAATCAAAAACAGGGAAAAGACTGTGTAGTTAGAGAACTTCTAAATGGTGAAGAAGTCAAGAGAACTGAAAGACAGAATGGACTGTTCTAATCATGGGGAAAAAATTATAAATCACAATGGAACCTCAAAGAAAAATGATAAACCTGCACATCACAATAAAAAAGAGGATAAGCATAAATATTCAGCAAATACAACAACAACAGCAACAAAGGAAATGATAACACGATTCATAAACATAATAAGCTCAGCACAGAAAGTAATATGGAACAACGAATCTAGGGACACCATGAAAAAACACTAACAAAATGACAGCAACCAATTCATACTTGTCAATAATTACATTGAATGTTAATGGATTAAATGCACCACTCAAGAAACAGAGAGTTGCAGACTGGATCAGAAAACAAAACCCATCAATATGCTGTCTACAAGAGACACATCTTAGAAACTAACACAAAAATAGGCTAAAAAATCAAATGTTGGAAAAAAAGATATATCAACTAAGTGGCAACTATAAAAGAGCAGGAGTAGCAATATTAACTCGATCAAATTGACTGTAAGACAAAACCCACCATACGAGACAAGGAAGGACATTATATAATGATTAAAGAATCAAATGAACAAGAAGACATAACCATAATAAATATCTATGGACCCAATGAAAGACCCCAAAATACATAAATCACACTTTAAAAGAGTTGAAAAGGCAAACAGATGATTCCAGTCATAGTGGGAGACTTTAATAAACCTCTTTCAATGAAAGATAGAACAACTGGAAAGAAACAAAACAAAGAGGCAGAAGAGCTAAACAATACAATCCACCAACCTGACCTTATAGAAATCTACAGAGCACTTCACCCAAAAACAGCACAATTCTTTTCCAGTGCACATGGAACATTTTCCATGCTAGACCTTATGTTAGGCCATAAAGCAAGCCTTCATAAATTTAAAAGTATTGAAATACTTTAAAGCATCTTCTCAGATGATAATGCTATCAAATTAGAAATCAGTAATAGGAAGATCAATAGAAAAAGAGTAAACACATGGAAACAACACCCTCCTTGAGAAAGACTGGGTAAGAGAAGAAATCAAAATTGAAATTCAAAAATTCATTGAATCAAAGGAGAATAAAAATACAACATACCAGAATCTTTAGGACACAATAAAAGCAGTGATCAGAGGCCAATTGATAACAATAAATGCACACATCGAAAAAGAAGAGCCAAAATCAACACTTTAAACCAACATATCCAACAATTATAAAAAGAACAACAAGAAAAGCCCACAGTCACCAGAAGAAATGAAATAATAACGATTTGAGCAGAAATCACTGAAATAGAAAACAGAAAGGCAATAGAAAAAATCAACTAGACCAGAAGTTGGTTTTTTAAAAAAGATCAATAAAATTCACAAACCACTGGCAAATTTAACAAAGGAAAAGAGGGAGAGAATAAAAAAAAAACACAAATAAGAAATGAAATGGGTGACATAACAGAACCAACTGAAATAAAAAGGATAATATTAGGACACTATGAAGAACTGTACTCTGACAAATTTGAAAATCTGGAAGAAATGGACAGATTTCTAGAATAACACCATTTACCTAAACTAACACAGACTGATGTGGAAAAGCTGAACAAATTCATAACAAAAGAAGTCATTAAACAGGTCATCGGAAAATTACCAATAAAAAAAAGTCCTGGCCCAGACAGTTTCACTGGACAATTCTAGCAAACATTCAGAGAACTGACACCATTCCTACTCAAACTATTCCAAAATATAGAAAAGGAAAAGGATGGAATCCTCCCTAACTCATTTTATGAAGCAAGCATAACCTTGATACCAAAGCCAGGCAAAGACATCACTCAAAAGGAAAAATACACACCAATATCCCTCATGAATATAGATGCAAAAATCTTCAACAGAATCCTAGCCTATGGACTCCAACAACATATCAAGAAAATCATTCATTAGGACCAAATAGGGTTCATATCAGGTATGCAAAGATGGTTCAACATTAGAAAAGCAATCAATGTCATCCACCACATAAATAAAACAAAGGAGAACCACATGATCATATCAATTGATTCAGAAAAGGCATTTGAGAAAATCCAACACAAATTTCTGATCAAAACTCTCAGCAAAATAGGAATAGAAGGGACATTCCTCAACATAATAAATGACATCTATGAAAACCAACAGCCAACATTATACTCAATGGAGAGAGACTGAAACCATTCCTCTGGTGAACAGGAACCACACAAGTATGTCCTCTACCTCCATTCCTATTCAACACTGTACTGGAAGTTCTAGCCAGCCCATAAGGCAAGAAAGGGAAATCAAAGACATCCAAATTGGTAAGAAAGAAGTCAAACTATCCCTATTTGCTGATGATATGATCATATGCCTAGAAAACCCAAGAGGCTCAGTAAAAAATCTACTGGAATTAATTGAGAGATTTAGCATCACGGCAGGATACAAGATCAACATCTAAAATCAGTTGGATTCCTCTATACCAGCAAAGAGATTTCTGAAAAAGAAATAAGGAAATCAATACCATTTACAATAGCTACCAAAAAAATAAAATACTTGGGAATAAATCTTACCAGGGACATAAAAGACCTGTACAAAGAAGTATAAAAAACTACTTCAAGAAACCATAAAAGATCTACATAAATGGAAGAACACCCCATGCTCATGGATAATTAGATTGAACATTGTGAAAATGTCAATTCTAACCAAAGCAATCTATACATTCAATGCAATCCCAATCCAGATCCCATCAACATTTTTTAAGGAAATGGAAATCCAATCACTAACTTTATTTGGAAAGGAAAGAGACCTCGGATAAGCAAAGCACTATTGAAGAAGAACAAAGTAGGAAGTCTCACACAGCTGGATCTCAAAACCTACTATACAGCCACAGTAGTCAAAACTGCTTAGTACTGGTATAATGCAGACACACAGGCCAATGGTATAGCATTGAGAACCTAAAAATAGATCCATCGACCTATGGTCAGTTTATCTTTGACAAAGGGCCAAAATCCATTAAATGGGGAAGAGAATGTTTAATAAATGGTGCTGGCAAAACTGGAGATCTATTTGAAGAAAAATGAAACAAGATCTGGACTTCACACCATACACAAAAATTACCTCCAGATGGATCAAAGACTTAAATGTGAAACCTAAAACTATATGGCTTCTCAAGGAAAAACTAGGGGCAAATTTAGGGGCCCTAATATATGGCCTATAATTCCCAGGAAACCACTACATAGTGTCTTTATGGCTAGATTGATTATGTCTCCAAAAGAAAGAAAGGAAGAGGACAAGGGAGTGTAATTAAAAAAAAAAAAAACTCACGGAATTTTCTTAGAGAAATAATTTATATACTTAGCAAAATTCTATTTGTGAAATCTATTTATTTAAAAACTCAAAGTAAAAGTTCTGCCACTCAATTTATTTCAAAAGACAAATCATATCAGTACATGCTTTCGTGAATTGCCTGCAATTTCTTCCTCTGATCTCAGGGTGTAGGATTATTGTCAGGAAAAAAGTCTATGAGGTAGAAATCTTGTTGCAGTGGGTAGCTGTTTTCATCTAATGCAAAAAGGCTCTGAATTTTCAGTAGGCAAGGTGTCCCGCCGAGTGTCAACAAGGCATGAAGCAAGTCTGCTGCCACCATCCCATAGGTGATTCCCGAGGAAGGTACTGAGGAAGATTAAACACACACACACACACACACACACACACACAGAGTTGTTAATATCACTCCCAGGTTGATGGAAATACAAACACAGAAGGGTTTCATTGTTTTTAGCTTCTCAAGTTCCAAATCCATTTTAATGTTCTCTTCCTATACCTTCTCTTTCTAGTTCCAAGTTGCTGAGGGAACTCTAGGATAATGGCAAGCAATTCTTGCTGAGCATGAAAGAAAACAGAGATAATGCACTTTTCAGATTGACAGCATTTGCTAATATGGTATCGCTATTACTAGCTTCTTACAACAATATAATAAAGAACGAAGATTGTTTTCGTCAGGGCTGAAATAAAAAGGAAATATTCATATCAGAAAAGTACTCTTATATTTATCTAATTGACAGTTCTCATAAAGATTTACATTTTCATACATTTATTTATTTATTATCATTTGCTATTACTAGCTTCTTACAACAATATAATAAAGAACGAAGATTGTTTTCGTCAGGGCTGAAATAAAAAGGAAATATTCATATCAGAAAAGTACTCTTATATTTATCTAATTGACAGTTCTCATAAAGATTTACATTTTCATACATTTATTTATTTATTATCATTTATATTAAAGAACCCTGAATCAGTTAATGAATATAAAATCTCAATAATATAAAAATACTAACGTTATAGGTAGATTTGTCATTTTATTTTGCATTTATCTGTCTTTTTTTTTTTTTTTTTTGCTATCTAATCAAGCTACCTAGCAGATAGTTCAATGCTAAACTGAAAAGACACTACTGACTACACTGAAACAGCACTAGTTTCCTGACCAACAAGCCCTGTCTTTTTTGGGGTCTATAGACTGCCAGAGGGCCAATGACATGTTAATGGGGATGTGGGAATTCTCTACACTAATTTAAAATTTTCACTTTGACAAGCCAAAAAATATTAATGATGATCTGGATGGTCTGAATGACCATTTTATCACCAATGGCTTAAGTGACCTCAGTGCCCCAATCTAATTAATTCCAAGAAATATGATTTAATTTGCTTGGGTCAAAACAAAGATGTATACTTGATATGAAAATGATGCCTGTCTGAGACATGAACACTAATAAAGGACACAGAAAATGAATGAAAAGAGCCAAAAGAATGAAAATGAGTTAAAAGAAAAAGGAAGTGTCCGATAAGGAAGTAAAAAGCTGAAAAGAGAATCACTTCCATTTGAACAAGAAAAAGCTGAGTAAATCAAAAACTGCTTTTCAACCCACAGAAAAGGCTGAGGCTCTGCAGCAGCCAAGGAGGCTGAAATAGACATCTCCAAAGAAAGACAGAGTAAGAGCATAGGTACCACTGTGGCAGCAGTCAGGAGGAAGACAGGCAGGTCTACCATACAAGCAGAAAAGAAGTCTTTACTTAATAAAATTAAATATTTTATTGTGTTTTCAGTGAAGGTTGATACAGCATTTAGGTTCCCATTTAACTATTTCTACACAAGTTGTTCAGTGGCACTGGTTACATTCTTCACATTGTTTGAACATTCTTATTTCCATTCTGGTTGTCCTATTTCTCTGACATCTTACAATCTCATCTTTGATTGAAATTAATTGTTGACAGTTTGGTCTCATATAAATGATTTTTTAAAGGAACATAATACTTATGGGAGATAGTCTTCATTTTGTGAGGAAATCTGTTACCTAAAAGGCAAAGCGTTATCTCAGGGCAATAGTCTCAAGTAGTCCTCCAGTCTCAACCAGTCCAGTAGGTCTGTTTTATTTACTTACTTACTTTTTTTTAGGAATTTGAGATTCTGTTCCACATTGTTCTTCCATTCTAACAGCATTCATCTACTGTGGCCCTGATCAGAATGGTGGGTAGTGGCACCCAGGCACCATCTAGTTCTGGTCTCAGAGTAGATGAGGCCACAGTTTGTATATTCTATTAGGATTGTAGTCTTCTTTGAGTTTTTAGTTTCCTTTCTCTCTTGTTCCAAACAAGTAGAGACCAAGAGTTGCACCTTAGATAGCCACCTGCATGCTTTTAAGATCACAGATACTGCTCACCAAACTAGGATGTAGAACTTAAACTTTATTAATAGATTTATACCATTTGACAAAGATGTCCCACGAGATTATGGTCCTAATCCTTCAAATCCAGAAACCAATCTTACGAGGTGTTTGGTTATGTCTGAGAAGTATCTGTAACTGTGTCACATATGTGCTTTATGATATATATGTGCATATAGTCACACGCATGCATATGCATATACATATTCACATACCTATACACATACATACTCATATATACATACCGATATGCGTGTGTATATATACACATACCCACACATAGATATTTGTTGTTGTTGCTGATGTTTCAAAATTATATATGCCATAGCAATTTCCGAAAGCTGGAAACACTTCACCCACATTCAATGTTACTTTTCTCATCATCAAAAATAACAAGTGTCTATCTACAGAGTGAATCCTCCTCTTCTCCCCTCTCCTCATCCCTGATAAACAGTAATGAACTATTAGTTTTTGTCTATTCATGTGTTTGTATCATTTCATAAAAATAAGAACATAGCATATTTGTTTTTGTGATTGACTTAATTGCTTAATGTCCTCCAGTTTCATCCATGTTCCAAGATGTTTCTCAAGAACTCATTTTTCTTCATTGCTGAGTAGTATTCCACTGTATGTATGCATTATGTTACTTATCCATTCATCTGTTGACAGAACTTACATGGCATCTTTTTGCTATTTGCTATTGTGAACAGGGCTGTGATGAACTAAGTGTGCACGTGTCTACTCGTTATCACTTCCATTAGGTCCCTGGAGTAAAGACCTAGAATTGGAATTCCTCAGTCTTATATCAGTTCTCACTTTTGAGAACTGGACCAATAGGTAAATGGAGAAAGGACTGAAATTGTCAAAGATTTCATTTTACCTGGATCCACAATCAACACCCATGGAAGGAGCGGTAAAGAAATCAGATGTTGTATTGCACTGGGAAAATCTGCTGCAAAAGACCTCTTTAAAGTGTTAAAGAGCAAAGATGTCATTTTTGAGACTAAGGTACACCTGACCCAAGCCTCATAAGCCCGTGAAAGCTGGACAATGAATAAATAAGACCAAAGAAGAATTGATGCCTTTGAACTGTGGTGCTGGCAAAGAATACTGAAAATACTATGGACTTCCAGAAGAATGAACAAATCTGTCCTGCAAGAAGTGCAGCCAGAATGCTCCTTAGAAGCTAGAATGGCCAGATTTCTTCTCACCTACTTGGGTCATGTTCTCAGAAGGGACTAGATCCTGGAGAAGAATATCATGCTTGGTAAAGTAGTGGGTTAGCGAAAAAGGGGAAGACCCTAAATGAGATGGTGAGATGGACTGATGCAGTAGCTACAATGATGGTCTCAAGCACAGTGAGTGTTTTGGTCCTCTAGTGTTGCTCTTACTTCCGTAGTGATACTGCCTCGGAAACCCAAGAAGGGGTCACTATGAGTTGAGTCTGACTCGACGGCACATAACAACAACAACAACAGTGTTGCTCTAACAGAAAATACCACAAATGGATGGCTTTAATAAATAGGGATTTATTCTCTTACAGTTTAGAAAGCTAGAAGTTCAAAGTACCGGCTCTAGGGGCTTGGTGAAAGCCATTGGAAGTTGGGCTTCAGCTTCGCCTCTTGCTCCCAGCCCACTGAAGCTGTAGGCTTCTTTTAATTCATACAGCTGCTGGTTGCTGAGGCTGACAAACCTAAGATTGGCAAGTGAAATGGCACAGTCCCAAAATTATCAAGCAACATGGCAGGCTACTAGTTCAAGTCCAGAAACAGTCACAAGATTGGTAGACAACATGGCAGGCCACTGAGATGAAGATTTGGCCAAATGCAGGATCCAGATGTGCCAAAAAGCTAGAGCTATCGCAAAGCTTCTTCTCACATACTGGAAGCAGACCACATCCCTAAGGCAGCTACTCAGCTGCTCACAGTAGACTCCACCATGAAGTTGATTACCAGTCTCATCATGGGGGATAACTACATCTAGCTGCCAGCCACTCAAAACCAGGCCTTGTCAAGTTGACACATAACCTTAACTACCACAGAGGATCGTGAGGATGGCACAGGACCAGGAAGTGTTTTGTTCTGTTGTACACAGGGTTGCTATGATTTGGATCCAACTCAATGGCACCTAACAACAACCATATGTCAGCTCTACCTGTAGGCTTTTTGGGTTTTTTTTTTTTTTTGGAAATTTCTTTTCTTTGTTGTTGTAACTGTTAAACATACACACAGAAAAAAACACACCAATTCAACAGTTTCTACACATACAATTTAGTGACCCTGATTACCTTCTACAAGTTGTGCAATCATTTTCACTTTCTTTTCTAAAGTTGTTTCACCCTCTTTAACATAAACTCATTGCCCCGTATGATTCCTATCTTATCTTTCCAATTGCTGTTTTGTCAGTTTGATCCCATACAGATAGTCCTTAAAAGACCATAATGCACAAGGCAGACTTTTTTCACTAGTTAAGCTAAACTATTGTTCGGTTTTAAGATTACTTCAGAGGATATTTTTGGCTTTAGGTTTAAAGATTATCTCAGGGCAATAGTTTCAAAGTTTCATTCACCCTCCATGGCTCCAGAAAGTCTAGGGTCCGTGAGAATTTGAAAGCCTATTTTTCATTTCCCTCCATTTGATCAAGATTCTTCCAGGGAATCTTTGATCAAAATGTTCAGTAATGGTAGCTGGGGACCATCCAGTTCTGTTCTCATAGCAAAGGGAGCAGTTGTTCATGGGAGCAATTAACCACACATTCCATATCCTCCTCCTATTCCTGACTTTCCTTCTTCCTCTATTAATCCAGGTTAATAGAGACCAATTGCTGTGTGTTAGATGGCTGCTTGCAAACTTTTGAGACCCCAGGCACTATGCAGTACCTAGGAGGTAGAACAAGCATAAAACATGTTATAAGGCCAATTAACTGGGATGTCCCATGAAACCATGACCA